AACCCAACAACCTGGATGATCTTATAGAATCTCTGCTGCTTGCTGTGAAGATACCACGTAGCCAGGCCAAAGATAATGCAGTTACCAGCAATAACGACGATTGTGCCGACATAAGAAAGACCAGCGTTTGAGGCAGCGCCTTTGCCCTCAACTTCCCACACACAGGATATGGGTAGAGTTTTGTCGTCAAGACCCTTTGAAACACCCTCGAGAACAAAGACGCCAGACACGCATGATAGCGCCAAGTTGACGAACATGAGAAACTGTCGCAACCATCGAATCACCCAATCGCGGCGGTAATCTTGTTTAAGAGCCAAAAGTGTCGTGTTATGAGTCGCCATGGAAAGGAGTGACAGCATCCAGATGAGAAAGAAGTGATAGGGTACCAAACTGTTCATCTTGGCCAGCCCAACACTCTGGATACCAATTCCCTGCATAATTTGAGAGTCGCTATAGCCGTTGAGCAGCTTTCGTCGGATGATCGAGTCTCTCCCTCGCATTTCGGCAAAAATAACGCTGCTTGATAATATGATGGCGAGCAGCGCCGTGATCATGAATGATAGTAAGATCTGTCGTGTGTTAGCACCCGGATTTATTCTCTTCCAATACATTCGAATTGAAGCTTACACCAGCGCCTGCGACGCCGGCATCGCTGGCTGTTGGAGCGGTCGCATTTCGATCGCAGTTGGCGGATTCAAATAGAGCCATGGTGGAACACAAATCAGTTAAGGAGCGTCTTGAGCACACAAAGAAAACATGGAAGGCATCGCCAAAAGACAGAAATTCAGGGTGCAAAGATGACTGGGCCCGAATCATTATTATGACGTTTAAGCGCGGACCCCTGGTCGCCCTGGCATCTGAAACAGGCCTTCTGGTCAGGATCTATGGCAACATTGCGGAGTCATAGGATGACACTTCAAGTTGGCATTGAGGCTGTGCTGAAGATGTTTGGGCCAAATCCTGCCAGCACACAATCAGAGGATTTCTTTGTGACTTGGGGGATGCTTGGTTGCCACAAAGAGGAGCCATCAGCCATCCCATGGAGGCTTTGACGCAGGCATATTTGCCTGCCGCGAACCCTCGCCATGCAGCCTTCAGCTTGATTGTCCTTGGTACTATTTGTGTCTCTAATACAGTAGCAACCAATTCAGGGCGGAGTATGAGACAATTCATGCAATGCTCAGACTTGTTTTCGAGATGCAATGCCGCAGTCAATTTCTTTTGCCCCGCAAATCGTATCTTGGTGTATTCCAAGGACACTAAGGTTAATGAAACATTTGATGATCGACGTCAATTTCTCCTCCAACAAACTAGGAAACAATTCACTACGAATGCCGTCATACTGCGAGCAAACAGATTTACCCGGTTCTGCCTGACAAGGATTACAGACAGCAGCGCATCGTACTTTTTGGTTCTCGCGCTTTCAGCTCTTGCTTCATTGTAAAAAGCACGCGAGATAGCCAAGGGATACCGTCGCAACCTTTCGTCTTCTCGCATGACGCAGAAGCCTTTACTTGGAAATCTTCATTACTATGAGGTCTCATCGTGGGAGCTTTGCCGACTACTGATCAGGTTAATAATGGACATGCTATGTTTCTACCACATCGACCAATTGTCGGGGTTTTGGGGGACATGACTGATCAGTCGCATCACCCCAGTTCTTTGATGCAGGCAGCTAGCAGATGCCCCCAATGCATGGGTTCCAAAAGCCTTTCGCCCGTCCACGATACCTGCGGTCTTTTACACTGTTTATTTGCTGTCAAGTGGGCGACTAAGGACAAGGTGTGAGTTATGCTCCTTCTTGGTCGGGAATGCCTCTGGAAGGACTCTTGCTTGGCTTAAACCCATCAAATCCTTGCGAACCAGGGGTCAACAATTTGTCGGCCTCTCGAAAACGTACCCGAAGAGTGAGGCACAGGACGAAGCGAGAAGAGGCGACAAACTTCCTAGGCGCCTGTGCCATGCGGGAAAACATGAAGATATGCCAGTCAACGTGCCTACTTCGTCGTTAAACCCACCGGAGGAAGCGAGACGCCTTGTTGGGCTGGTGCGATATTACCGGCAAGAGTACGACTTGTCGTATGCCAAGGCCATATTTTCCAGCAGTCTCAAAGTGCAGCTCGGGCCAAATTCTGACAGTGGCTGGCATGAAGTGATCTGTCAAGCAAACCGGCTCGATGCCTGATCCCAGTATGCAACTAAGATTCTTCCTTCAGGTAGAAGATGTGCGGAGCGCAGGTAACGAACTTCAGATCCTGGTTCAATCATAACGGTTGAAAATGACTCGAAGCGAGTGGAAGGATGCAAGCGAATTTCCCAAAATTGCGACTTGCATGAGGAGGGGTGGTTTTCTTGGTGTGTTGGACTCACCTGCAGATGAACCAGGCCTAGCTTGACCCGACAGTTTGGATATCACGGTGATAGTGCGACATACCCACATGAGCCTTCCATTCACATGATAAGAGGCGTCAGTCGGGGGACTGGTTCCGCTGCAACTATGTGGATAATAGTTGATGTTGGAAGCAGAAATGAGGACGCGGCCGGCCGCCCAGCCGTTTGTCGTTGTCTCTTGTCGTGTTAGGCTGGCCCGGGCCGGCCGTCATTCGTCTAATCGCTTCGCTTCGCCTGTCGTCTCTTCTCGTCTATGAAACTTGGACCAGGGTCAGCCGATCTCTAGAGCACAGATATAGGATTTCACCTTGCCATGAGAGTTCATGGGAAGGACACACGCTATACCATCTGTTGAGTGAAAGGCAGGCTTGGAAACAGTCTTGTATATGTTGGGTTAAGTGCATGATGCAGTCGGTCGCTGACCATTGAAGCAGAACACAGAGCAGCAAATGGCTTGATTCAGATGTGGAAATCAAAGCAAACACGGAGGCAGAAACTACATCCTAAACCAGGATATAGTTGGACCATTCAGATGTACCAATATCTACGTCCATCTTATGGCTAATTGCTGGTCAATTGCCCACCGTGAGTGTCAATCACAAATGATATTAGTGTTGGGCAAATATCAGGCGCAGAGGTGATACCTTCCAACTAACGAGCTGCCTGTCTCAGCCCCAATGCACAACCAACAGCTACAATGTTGAAGGATGTCGGGTAGAGAACGAACCACAGACACCCTTGCACCTCGACCCATATCCGACATGAAATCGTGGGTGCCGCAACTATTTGTTTGCTTGCCATCAGAGGCGTGCATAAGGTAGATTGGTATGGAAAATTGTTGGATGTCATACACTTCCCTGTTTGTCCTCTCCTTGGCTAGTCATTTATAGAAGCCGCATCTCTCCCACAGAAAGTTATCAAGATCACCCACACTTCTATCGACTTTCTCTCAATCAGCGATGCTTTTGATCCCACGACAACATGCTGGCCCCGTTGGCCGAACATTTGAACCTGAGCTCAATCGCCCTTCATATCCCCCCCAGAAGTACGCATCGAACTGTCCAACCTGGCTACCAAAAGTTCTTCAAACGACCAAGCCATCGCTATTAGAACGACTCCCCAACGACGTACAGAGACTGGTTTTTTCGAACCTGGATTATCAGTCCCTCATCTTCCTCTCCATGGTGAACCGACAATTTCACCGTACAGTAGACCCTCAACGCATGGCAACACCACGAGACAAGTTCGAGTTAGTTATGAGGGCAGCAAAAGACTTCCCACAACATTGGGCCAGCGAGAAAAAGAAAGACCACCGACCCGGAAACCTGGAGTGCTACTGGTGCTTCCGTGTGCGGACCCCGCAACACTTTGATGTGTTACAAGCCAACACGGCCTACTTTGACCTACAAGGCCGATTGGTATCGGAGCAGGAGGCGGGACCTCAAGACCGGCCTGTGCCCCTCCGCCGCTTCTGTATCGGATGTGGAGTAAAGACTGGACTTCACGCACCATCTGACTGCATCGTGACAAGAACAGGTCAGGATCTCTGGGTTTGCCGATGCCGGCGTGTGTGGCAGAAGCCTAACTGCCTGCAGTGCCCAGACTGCTCTTCAAGTTGTCCACTACGGCCCAAAAAGAGGTGGTGTGGCTGTGACTATTCGTCTACACGACCCAGTCAGTCCTGTGTGCTATTGCATTAGGAATCTGGATGACAAGCATCAGCAGAGGAAAGGCATGCATGTACTATGGAGACTGCCTAATAGAGGCCCGCAGATAGAAAAAGGCCACAGCTTAAGGTATATACAGAGCTGAGGTTAGTCAGATCGAGTCATGCATGGGTCGAATCTAAGGGACATTTTTCGAGAAACTGGGGCAAGAATACATCCGGGGTATGGAAAACTATCGATATCCATGCTAGCATAGACGAGCTTGATATTTTACTGGCAAAGCATTAGAATGATGTGTTTCTTTAAATTTGATTACTTCTTAAGGCTTGGAAACATAGCCAATGTAACCATTGGACTGAAATATCCAGAGATGGAAGACAAGAAAGATTGACATCCTTTTAAAAGCAACGTGGTATGCTACCCTTGCTCGCCAAATCAGCTATTGCAATGCACACTTACAGCTTAGGCAATCCAGAATCTAGCAAAACAATATTCATAATCAGCATCTTTTAGTCTCGCCTCACGTCTAGAATATGATGCCAAAAGCCGGTCACACCAGATATGCGAGCCGTGTGTTATCACCTGACCTCACGCGTTTCGGAGTGGTAATCGTGCAATAGAAGCCCAGTTCTCCTCCTTTGCGCTGAGTGCTTGGAGGAGATTGTTTTTCTAGTCACATGGTTGTGGTGAAATGGATAATGCTTCGTCGGTGAGGATGGTTAGAGTTGTAGGTTTGGTGGACTTTAGTAGGTGTTTGTCGTTATTTGCTGAGCAGTAGATATGTATTGAGGCAGCTTTTCAGGGGTTTCATATCGTGTTATTGACCTCTGGTAATCTTTTCAGTTATATAACATTCATTGTATTCTCTATCTGTCGCAACTATGAAACTAGCTTCGTTTTCACAACTCGACCGCTATTTGCGTCATTGTTGCCCACATCAACGCCCGAGGAGTCCCGCCGTGATTCACAACCACTCCTCAATATTATCTATATAAGCAATCAAACCTTCACCTAAGTCCTTCGAATTCTCTTCTTTCAGCCTTCTATTTGCTTCTATCCAGCCGCCTCGGCTCAAGTACCAGCCATTACTTCTCTTCTTTCTCATCGCTCACCGTGCCAGTCCATCATGGATGATAACAGGTCTCAGCCACCGGATGAGCCTGTCCTTATTCCCAGTCTGGCATCGCTGAGTATTGAAGACATTCCGACCCTCGATCTCCAGATTAAGCTGGAGCTGGATCAGGGCAGCGATGTCACCAAAGCATGCGACGACAAGGAAACAGAGGTGCAAACACTTTCAGGATTCACTACGTCCAGGATTAACACACTCTGCTAGATCACCGAAGTTCAGCCAAAGGAGGACATTCTCTCGGAATCCATTCCAGATGAAGTACATCTATCACGTGGCGACGAAACACTGCAGGACCATGGACGAGAACCATTTGATGACATCGCGACTGAGTATGGGGATACTTCAGGCTCCGAACCAGACTTTGCATCAAGTTCAGAATTTGATTTTGGGTCGGATGATGAAGATGGAGAAACAACAGACGAGTATGATACCTAGGGATTGTTGAGGAAGTCGTTTGTGCTGACACTGCTTCTTAGTTTGATCCGCTATGTCACGGCTCATCGAGACGAGCCGTTCGAATACGTCCATCGCTTTCCTCCTCTGGAGCCCCTGGAATCAATCGAAAACCCCGAACACACTACCATGGAACCTGCTGGCTTGCCTCTAACACCATCTCCCACTACAGATGTCCTCTTTCAAAATGACTATTTCATCGTCAAGCGATCCCTCATTGCGGGCTGGGGCGCCTTTGCAGCCAAAGACCTCAAATTCGAAGACAACATTCTCGTCGAGAGACCGCTGTTCACCGCCGACAATAACACACTGTACAAGGAATTCGACAAACTGGACCAGGCTTCGCAGGAAATTGCGCTGGGTCTTCACGCTAACAGCTATTGTAAGTTCCAGAACATCAAAGCTGTCTGGACTACAAACTGGTAAGTTGAGAGTTGAGGAACGAAGAGAAATGCTCTGATGGAACTTTTAGCTTTTCAACAGGTGTCTTGGATGAAGCGGGCCTTTTCCCTGTCGCGTCGCGATTCAATCATACATGTCATCCGGGACAGAACGTTGCGTACCACTACAACAAGGCCGAGAAGGTACTTGAGATGAAAGTCAAAGCGGATGTTATCAAAGAAGGTGAAGAACTGACCATCTCGTATGGTTTCAGACTGACTCCCGCCGATTTGTTCTATCGCTATGGGTTCAGATGTCGCTGTGGAGGATGCTCTGGATGGACAGAAGAGGATGAGAAGGGTATGTGGTGATCGAAAGGAGATATGGGTCGCGAGAGGCACATATCTTTGCTTGGGTTTGAAAGTCCAGAGATAGTTTGGTTCCAGCATTCGAGACAAGGGGCTATGATTGATGTTGGATTTGTATTGACCTGGATATAGGGTCATTCTTTGGTCCTTGGGAGATGGGACCGGCGTTGGGCAAAGAAAAGCATTCCAAAGCTCAATATAACATCGAAAGTTCGACTAGCGCGCCGTTTGTTCATTATTGGAGTCACCGGTTGCCTGCCTACACCAAGTCAAGCTGAGCCTCAACAAAGACACCGTATGAGTCAACCACCGACAAAGCGTAGTGACGACCTGTGTAACACAACATTTATATTCTGCCATTAGAAAAGAGGTAATCACTTCAACTAAGCTGCATCTTCATTTTGCAACGCTAAACATCTTCGCACTCCATCTCAATGCCTTTATCTTCCAAATACTATAAATCTTCAAACATCACCAACTATTTACACGTCCTCTGGCGAACAATTTTGAAAAAAGACAGCAATAATCCCAAATCATGGGCTCATACACGATCCTTGAAGGAAACACCCCTGGAAGTGTGATGGACTGGTCGAATCACCAGAATCATTCTGGCAATGATGTCTTCTACTTCAGTTTCACCGAACTCGCCATGCAACTTGTTCTCTCAGCGGATCATCAGACGATGATTTCCTGCCAAATCATTGATACATATCGTTCATTCTCGAGAAAGGCAATAGATCCTCTTCGCGAACATGTCCGCTGTATCGTGAGAACAGCACTTGGGGACGACTCTTATCATGCCAGGGAGTTTGATCTGCAAATCACCATTCTTCAAATGTTGGAAGCAATTCACGAATTCTTACTAGGCCAAAATACTTTCACACCAGAGAAATACGAAAAAGGATATGCAGCAGACAAGGTCTCAGACTGGAATGAAGTCATCAACAACCCCTTCGGTCTCGATATATCAACCATCCAAGACACAGCCTACTCAATCCTCCGCAAAACGCCTGAGGAACTGACAGCTGGTATCCCCAAACAATGGAGAGTCATTCACATGGAATCTGTTCTTCGCCATGATCTCGTCAAGCGATTCTGGAACTATCAGAAGTCACTGAAGACAGAGCTGCAATCGTGCGGGACGAGCTTACGAGACAGGATTCCGCCTCATTCGAAGCTGGAGGGCCAAGTTAGAGCCCAGCTTAGCAAAGAGAGTATTATCCAGGATATGACTTCTCCTCGAGTGACTTTCCACGGTACTACTCTTCAGTCAGTAAGTTCCATCGTTCGCCATGGCTTCAAGATGCCTGGGAATATAGTTGAAGGAAAAGTCATCGCCTCTCCCAGATCAGGAATAGCATTTGACCGAGGAATTTACTCATCCCAAGAGGCCTTCTATGCTATCTCTTATGCTCGTGGGCAGAGAGAGATGACTCCAATCGGCGTGCTGCCTAGTATGAGGTTATTTGTCTGCGCTACCATCATGGGTCGCACATATACCGGGAATGAGGGACGTCATGGGCCCTTGATTCAAGGATATGACTCGCATTTCGACGGTGGCTTTGAATACATTGTTCACGATGAGCGAGCCATTGTTCCCTGCTATGTCATCCACCTCGATCTCGGTTCAGAAGCAGCCAAGCAGGCCCTCAAAGACGTACAGGCCAGCCCTGAGGTGTTCTACAACCTGACCAAGACCAAGAAGCGCCGCGAAGCCAAGAGCACAGCGCCTGGAGATATTCAACGTGAGAAGGAAGCCAGGAAAGCGGCAGCTCTGAAGTGGTTCCCCTACGGTTTTGGTCCTGCTACGGGTACAAGATTTGTTATCGAGGAAGTGGGTGACATCTCGGACGATGAAGAGGAATATGGAGACTGGCAGGCTGATAAGCATGGCTATTCGAATTCTTACATGGAGAAGAACACTGGAGTATGGGGCGATGACGAGTGGGAGTACTATGATGAGAATGGGAACCTTGTGAAGGGCAAGAGGCGTTTGATGGATCAATATCAGCATGCCACGCGCGCACACAAGAAAGAATAAGGGGGACCTTGTCCTCAGGGAGCAAGAAAACCCTCGACCTTAAACCAGGGTGTCAAGATTAATTGGTCTAAATGCCTACTAGGATATACTAAACTTACCTACGTCTTTTTACCACTTATGACAAAGATCCTAAGTCTTTTTGTCACTTAGGATAAAGGTTCTAAGTTTTGTTGCCTCTCCTAGCTTGTTAAAAGAATTATCGAGTACCCATTGTAGGACATTGTATCTGTTTTCATCTAATCCCAAACGCCATGCCATGCAGTCCGCCCATCCATCCAATAATACATCCTCTAATCCCAATACCTAATCTCACCATCCAGACCCGCCGTAACCACCTTACTGGTCTCTTGAGGATGCCACTTGACAGTGGTGACAGCCTGATTACCAGCCTTGAACTTGTGATACATCTTACACGTCTTCCAGTCCCAGAAGCATACGTAACCACCAGAGTCACCCGAGGCAAGGAATTGTCCGTCAGGACTGCAGTCGAGATCAATGCCAAGACCAGCGTTGTTATGGCCGCGGTAGCTCTTCTTTCGGTTCTGTCGGAACTTGTCGTTTGCGCCGTAGACGAGAATCTGGTTATCGGAGCTCTGATATGCGACGTATTTGCCGCTGGGGTGGGGAGCTGCACGGGTCATGGGGTACATGTCTGGCTCAGCGATGTATTTGATAGGGACGGGAATGTTGTAGTCCCATGCTCGGAGGGACTTGTCGTCAGAAGTTGTCATAAAGCGTCGGTTCTCATCAACGAATGTGATGGTGTTGATAGCAGCCAAGTGATGATCATACTCCTGAACAACCTCGTTCGGTGTTCGAATATCGAACTGAACAATCTTCTTGTCCGACATACCAGCTAAGAACTCATTCGCATGCTCAGGGTCAGGGTTGAACTTGATGACATGAGGAGTCTTGCCAGTCGTGAACTTGCTAACACAAACACCCTTCTCAGTATCCCAGAGCTTGATCATGCGATCATAAGAAGAAGACAGGAACTGAGTGCCCGATGCGTTGAAGCAAATATCTGAAATGGCTTTTGAGTGTCCAGAGTATGTTCGTAGGAGCTCCCGCTCGTGGTACACGTCGAAGATCTTGACGGTAGTATCGGCGCTGGCTGATAGGAGCAAGTGTCCGGAAGAAGGGAAGAATCGTAGCGCAGTAACCGCCTTGGAATGGTTCTTCCAAGAGTGAATCTGCTTCTTGGGAATAAAGTTGGTGACGCTTCCCACTTCTTTTCGAAGGTCGATGTCCAAGTCTTGGGGAACGTGCATATAAGTCCTGCCCTGGTAATCGTATTCGGCGGATCCGTGAAACGTCGTCGTCTCGTCGCCCATCTCCTCGGCCTCCTTTCGTCGTTCTAAAGCCTTGGTCGGTGCCTTGACAATTGTTCCGCTCTCGACAACCTCTTCCTCCTCTTCAACAATCTCATATTCCTCATCGCTTGCCAATTCCTCGTCGTCTGCAACAATCTCGTATTCGGCCTTTTTGTATCGCGCCCAAGGTCCAACGTAAGATCCAGGCCCTTCCGCAATCGTCGCGCTGCCCTTGCTCTCACGCCCAGCTCGTATCTTAGCAGCCTCTGCCTTTTGCTCTGCATTCGTTTGGTACTCTCGTTCAGGGCCACCTCGTCGCTCGATAGCACGATGCTTGCTTCGGAATGTGTGTTCGCTCAGAAAAGTCTCCTCTGCGTGTCCAGTTGGGACGCTCTTGCGCTTCAAAACATTGCTCTCGTCCTTGAATGGGTTTAATGGTCCGGCCTTGGGACGCGATAGATCTTCTGCTGAATAAGGCACTACAGCATGGTCAGGTTCAGCTTGTTCTCGAACTATGAGCGCATCTTGCGGCGCCATATTTGGCGGATATTCCCCAAAGTCCGCCATGATGAAGGGAATGAATGTAGATGATTGATGATGTTGAACATCGCAAAGCACAGCCAAGCTTCAACAAGCGCGACAGTGCTGATCGCGAAAACTGAAGGTCACGTGACTATGATCGCATATCGCATATCGCAGGTTATAGGAGCAAGAAAGCTTCTGACCTTGAACTAAGGTGCTTAAATAATGAAGTCTTAAGGTCTGCTAAATCTACACTAAACCTTTCTAATTCTTTTTGTCGTTTAGAAAAGTGGACTTGAGTTTTCTTGCCTCTCCTAGCCAGGGTACTGTTTAGGCTTGAGTACTTTAATTGATACGAGAAATGTTTATCATGAGTTGTAAGTCATCTACTGTACATAAAGAAAGTATACATTTCATCCAAAGCATCAAAACTGGCCATTTTATTCGGTCATTAATCAATTATCACACCGGCCTCAAACGCTGGAGGATGACGGGACGAGGCCACCACCAAACCAAGTGCGATCAATGCCTCAGTCTCCAACAGAACATGCCACCTACCGCCTTCATGAAGTAATCAACCAGAGCGCCAGCTGGCATGATACCAGGATATATACGCCAAGCCCGCCTCTTAAAAAAAGAACCATCATCAGTCTATACTGTCTTCCACTCGTTATGTACTGCCGCAGCAGATTCATATCTTGTTCACTTGTTCTTGTCGTCGCGTGACCAGTCGACTCGGCTCTGGGTGTCAGCCGAGCTCAACCAGCTTGTTAAGATGTTGCGATCTGTTCTATTTGACGTAGCCAAGCATTGCCCGGCATCGGTCATAGTCGGATCACGGCTCATTCGAGAGGGGTAGCATTTTAGGAGGACTCGTCTCGGATAAGAGCGACAATCATGCTGTAGAGGTAGAAGAAGAACATGATCAGGTGGAAGCCAAGCTTGAAGAAAGATTCCTATTTTTTGTGTTAATGCTGCGCTTTACTACTAGCCAAGCTTTACCGCATACCTTCTTGTGGACATTGAGCTTGCGGAAGATTTCAGTCGCATCGAGGAGATGAGTGTTGTCAACAATCCTGGTCATGGTTAGTCTGTTGTCGCACATTCGGTGGGAAATCGACATACTTTTTGACGTTCCAGCCAAGGAGAGGCAAGTTGAGAATGAGAGGCACCCAGTAACCGTTGATGAGGAAGAGGAAGGTCAAGAAACCGTGCACAGCAGCCTCGGGGATGATATAGGTGTTGAGTCGGTTGCAGAGGTCAATGGGGTTAATGTAATCACTATTACCATATGCGATTAGCTTTCATCCCATCAAATATTTTAAATACGCGCATCTGGGGCGCAAAATTTGACACCCTAGACAACAGCATCGGGAAGAACCATGGGAAGCATACCATTCCAAATCGCTGTACATAATAGTGAAGAAAACCTGTAAAAAGAGGTTGACGGCGTTGATAAGCACCGACAACAAAAACAACCAGGCTTCTCCAGACATCATGTTGGGCTAAAGTGTAAATGTGACGTTGTGGATTGGTGATCGAGTTGGGATGACGATGTCGGTCGAGGACAGCTGTTTGACAAGCTGCAAATCGCGGTGCAAGGCGAGGGATGATAAGCGTCGGAGGCTACGGTTCGCGAAAAGCTCTGAGTAGCTGAATTATGCCAAAGTTGCCTTGCAGTGAAGAGTTCTTGGTTGCAGAGTGTGAGGGGAATAACAGAGTGGAAGAGGAGAAATCTTGGTGGCGGGCAATGGATGGTGTGGAAGTGGTAGCGGTGGTGAGTTCTGGTGGAGATATGGTGGAGGTGAACCTGGAGAGGTTAGGTTAAGTTAGGTTCCTGGGCTGGGCAGATAAAAACTAGCCGCGATGATGGAAGCGGCGACAGCTCAGGGCACACTCTCGAAGCTGACAGCAGGACATTGTGCTGAAACCCCCCCTGTAATCCCAGCGGCCTCTACCTTGATCCCCTGTCCTGAAAACGCCTTCCACGGCGGATGGCGTGGCCGAGTGACGCCTGCATGTGGCTGGAGGAATCGCTGAGCCTTCGAGAGGCAGGGTTTATTACTCTCCAACTTTGACAGCGAGAGCCATTTGCGTCACTCCACAGATAGATAAGCCTGCATCCGGGGATATATATGCACACGGACATTGACAATGATGTAACGATGTATGACCTGACTTGACCAAGCTAGCCAAGCAAGGCTGATCAATGTCGACATCCACATGAACATCATGGTTCACATGCTTCTGTAGTGAACAAGACTCTTTATCAATCACTCAAAACTTGAGCACAAATGTGTCAATATATCAATTTTGGTTTCATGCCTTAATGCTCGCCGTTATTGCACCACCCATCAGCCAACAACCCCTCATCCCCACCAACTCCAGAACATGATATCGCCAAAACATATGATTTCTTCATATAACAATCCTCATTACACTCTATGCCTGTGTCTCTCCGTTCTCAGTACCAGGCATCGGCAGGGCACCACCAGGAGAATCTGGCTGTCTCGCCGTCAAAATCTCGACACCATCTTCTGTAACAAGAAGGGTGTGCTCTGCAATTCATATTAGCCTATGTCACTACCACACTTCCAAAGTAGACTTACCAAACTGAGCTGTCAGCTTGCCATCGATAGTGGTGCTGGTCCAGTTATCAGGCCAAGTAATATCTCTGTACTTTCCCAGAGCAATCATGGGCTCAATAGTAAAGGTCATTCCGGGCTTGCACTCTCCAACAGTCTTGTTCTTGGCGTAGTGAGGGACGTTGGGAGGACAGTGGAAAAGCTTGCCGACTCCGTGGCCACAGTAGGTTCGGATAACGCTGCAGTTGTGCTTCTTGGCGTGCTTCTCAATAATGTTACCAAACTCTCGGATCAAAGTGCCAGGCTTAACGGCCTTGATAGACTCATCCAAGCATTGTCGTGCCGTCTCGACCACACGAACAGTGTCGGGGTCGGCCTTGGCCTTGTCTCCAATGTAGTATGTCTCGTTCAAATCGGCGTGGTACCCTTCGTGGTACAGGGAAACGTCGATGTTGAGAATATCACCGTCGAGCAGAACACGCTGGTCAGGAATACCATGGCAGATGACTTCGTTAACGGATGTGCAGCAAGACTTGGGGAAGTTGTTGTAGTTCAGAGGAGAGGGGTAGGACTAGGTCGAGTTAGCCATCACCAAGAGACTCTTGCGATTCGGAAATTCGTGAGTAATCCTCAATACATACGTTTCGCTCGATACAAGCCTTGTGAACGATCTCATCGATGTAGTCGGTCGTCACGCCAGGCTTAGCAGCAGCCGCAGCGATGTCGAGGACCTCTCGCGCAAGCTTGCAGCTCTTTCGCATGGCATCCTGGCCCTTCTTGTCGAGAATTTCGATCTTGTTACGGTTGGTTAGGGATCGGCTGTATCTGGGGTTGCCGTCTTGCCACCACACGGGGTGAGGAATCGACTGAGGAAGAGTTCGATGCGGCGACAGAGGATAGACGGGTCGCAGGGTTCCAGAGTACGGAAAGTTGGGAAACGGGTTATAGTAGCCGGTAGCTGGATCTGGTGAGATTGCTTTCGGAGCTTTCAGGTGGTGGAGGATATTACTTTGCGACTTGTGCATTGTCTTGTGGATGCCCTGCGACGGGGTTAGTATGTGTCGCTGTCGCAAAGTGGTAAATGCACGTACCCAGTTTCTCTTAAAGCACTCCTGAGAGCAGAAGAAGCTGTCCTTGACTCCCAGCTTCAGGCAAGTTGGGCATTGGAGGGATCCAGCTTCATTCTGGCAGTCGGCGCCCATGCACTCCTTCTTGGTGGGGGGATCAGCAGTCATTGTGTCGGTGTCGATGTCGATGTATGTACTTGATTAAACAGATTGTATCGTGCGAAAAAAGAGTGTATAAATCAAGAAATCTTAACCTGGAGTGAGAGTTTGTCGAACAATTACAATGCGATCACAAAGCGCCAAACAGTGTAGTTGTAGAGTCGTGTCTCTCGTGGTGCAACTTTCAGACGAGAGCAAAAGATCGACTCGGCCCCATTTGCTGCAAGTTGATAAGCCTCGATAAGGGTAGTCGCTAACAATGGCCAGTTACGTTTGGCGACGGACTGGAGCTTCTCTAACGGAGCCTGAGTTGGTGGGGCACTTGAAAATGTTTTATGCATTTTATGCATGTGCCACACTAACGGAAGCTGTTAGCACTCTGATTGTAAACGGTGCTGTTTTGGGTAAGTGGGGGTTTACGGCACAACGGAAACGTGGTTAGTAACGGTGGTCCATGCGAGAGTGTTAGTGCATTAGTGAACACCAAGCATGTGAAGGGCAAGGAACTCAAACTGATCTCTACAAGAGAATTTCTGAAACTTGTCTCCAACTAAACATTTGAATTTCTACTCATTTGAGCTGAGAAGAATTCTATGACATCAGTGTTAGGTTTGAGTAAAGCATGCCATTTCTGAGCAGACAATTGTGAGATCTGGGGGTTGAAGCTGGTTAAATACAGAGTTACTCTCACGAGAATGGCAAAAGAGCTGGGAAAAACGCTTTGAAGGGAGTGCTGGGCCACCGAGAACAAAATGTGCAATACTGGTACTTGCACCGGCTTCGCTCTATGTTAACACCACAATGGCCCTGGGTGGGAGCAGTCAGAAGACACTTACTGGGTTACAGCTAGCGGCCTCTTTATTGGCCCATAGTCTCAATCTAAGGTAGTCTGACTACTAGACCGTTCCTTTCAACCTTCAGTGGCAATTACTTACTGCAACACCGAATGCCGGGGTTGGTAAGTGGTCTTGTGGTGACTGTAAGGTTGTTCTTGGCTCTTCTGTAGTGAACAAAGTGGGCCCCCGCTTCCGGCCGGCCGCTATCGCTTTGATGCAACAGTAGCAGCCGGCCCTATCGGGGCTTGAATCGGTCCTCGATTTATTAGTATGACGGCCTTAATATCTCGCCATCTCTGGACATTTCTTGTCTCCGTTTGTCCTTGACAAACCTCACGAGCAAGATGGTGAAGCCTCAGAAGATCGTTGTTGTAGGTGCTGGGCCTGTTGGTTCTCTGGCGGCTTTGTATGCTGCTCAGAGGGGACATGAAGTTGAAGTTTATGAGTTGCGACCTGGTAAGTGACCTTTTTTTAACATGTTTCCCATTGGCGCATCACGAAAGACTCAAATCAGTTCCGGAACCCCGAGGAAACTCCTTTGAGGCTTTCGCGACTTGCGAAAAGTTGTGTATAAGGTTTTTCATGAGGTCTTTTATGAGAATTCTTCTCAACCGTTCGAGAGGTGCATTCACTGACTGGTCTAGACCTCCGGGATCCCAGTACTATCCCACTCAACTTTACAAAATCTATCAACCTCGCAATTTCAGAGCGTGGAATCAATGCTATGCGCCATGCTGGTCAACCAGGCCTCCTTGACCATGTCATGTCGACAACAATTCCCATGAGAGGCCGCATGATTCATGGTAGAGGTCCAACTGGAGCTCTCTTTGAGCAGTCGCAAGACTACGATGTCAAGGGACGAGTATGCATAATTGCCTCAACTCCTGTGTAGCATGTGACGCTGACGATTCGCAACAGGCAATCCACGCCATTGACCGGGCAGGCCTGAACAAGCGATTGCTCGATATCCTGGACAATATGCCTAATGTCAAATTATTCTTTAACCACAAGCTCACAGGCGCAGACTATCGCGAATGCAAAGCTTGGTTTGAAGTGGCCGATGCAAAGTCGTCCGAAGAGTCTCGTCCAAAGGAAATCGATATTTCCTTCGATCTTATGATTGGAGCTGACGGTGCCCATTCTGCTGTTCGCTACCATCTTATGAAGTTTACCCGGATGGACTACCAGCAGGAGTACATTGATACTCTATGGTGTGAGTTCCAGCTCAAGCCAGTCAAAACTGATAAAACAGCCGATCCAATGGCCAAGTTCCGAATATCGCCTAATCACTTGCATATTTGGCCCGGCAAGGATTTCATGTTCATTGCTATTCCTAGCGATGTATGTTCTTATTCGTTTCTATTGGTTCCCCACAATTTATTGACTCTTTTGTTTAGGACGGCTCATTCACATGCACACTCTTTATGCCTAGCAAGGATTTCTCGGAACTTGAGAATAACCCAGCCAGCGTTCCAGCCTTTTTCGACAGCCATTTCCCGGGCGTTACCGACTTGATACCAGGCGATGAGTTGATTGAATCTTTCAATACAAATCCTCACCTCCCACTTATCAGTCTCAAGTGCAAGCCGTATCATTATGGCGCTTCTTGTGTTATTGTTGGTGATGCCGCTCACGCCATGGTGCCTTTCTATGGCCAAGGCATGAATGCGGGAATGGAGGATGTACGGATTCTCTTTTCAATATTGGACAAACATGCTCATATTGACGAGTCCAATGACCCTGCCAGCGAGTCATCTGAGTCCGGGCCAGCTTTCCAGCGATCACTTGCGTTGGCGGAGTACTCAGCGGTCCGGCCAGCCGACGCCCATGCAATCAACGATCTTGCCCTGCAAAACTATGTTGAGATGCGATCTTCAGTCTTGTCAAAACGTTACAGGTTGAGAAAGTATCTCGAAGAGATGATGAGCGTGTACTTCCCTCGCCTTGGCTGGCAGACGAAGTACTCTCGAGTCAGCTTCGGCAACGAGGGCTACCTAGACGTCATCAACAAGAGTGATACCCAAGGCAAGATCTTGGTGCGAAGTTTCTTGACTCTGGTTGCCAGTCCTTTCTTGGTTTCAGCTGCGGTATTTGCTTACAGGTACCGACGGTCATTCTCTGCTATGATCAAGGCTGTTCGACAGCTTCCCTCGTGAGGGAAACCCGCCGTCGTATTGGTACGATGTACTAGTGAAAATCTTCGCTTATTTATTAGAAATCATGTGTCACTGCTCAGTTGCAGGAAAAGTTGGCTATAATTAAAGGTCAAATTGTAATATAGAATTAAAACCAACATGACTAGGACTAAGCTTGGAAGTAACAAAAGAAGGTCAACCTTCGATTCTAAGAAAAGAACTTCCAACTATCTATGAATCTACTGAATTAGTCGCATGCGCCTCAAATGTATCGTTGATCTCTAGAGTTCAGATTAGTCTACGGGTTTATCGAGAGCGTTGGCGATTTGCAGCACCACCACTCTTGCTAAAGAGTAAATTCGAATTCTTGGTAATTCATCAACGTCAGATACTCACACTTATATCAAATTGCTAGCTTTATTTCTGGCACTATAAAAACGAAGCACACATTCATCGTCAGGTTATTCTTATGCACTAATGCAATGATATGCGCTTAGCCAGTATTCGGCTTAGTCATTCTTTGAACTTCTGAATTTTTGGCCCGGATCTACAACGCTCTACGGAGAGTCTCGTTGAGATCGAGATATTGGGCGGCATTTCTCGCTCTAAACCTACGACAATTAACGGTGGGAGATTATATCTCGGTCAATCGGTGTCTTGATTTTGAAGACCCTGGTCTCGCTTTCTTCCAGAGGTGAGTTCGACAATTCCACATCCAAACTGCGCGATAGGAGCCGCAAGGAAACAAATGTTAACAAAGCGTCAACGTAGTGAAGACCGATTCCAACGAGACGACCGAACTCTTGCTTACTCACGTCGATACCGTCCATTCTCTAAACCGCCCATCATGCCCTCAGTCACCAACATTGCGAACATGTGTTCGCATCTCCAAAACGCCTCTAAAGCCCGCCTGGGTATAACATCCGTCAAGAATTGCAAATACAACCTTCAACTCGCCCTCGCTCTTCACCGATCAGGTTTCTTCTCGGCAGTCTACCGCTCCGGTCCCCATCCCCCAACGCTCGAACAGATGGTCTCTCAGCCTCCAGAGCCTGTGACAAACGCCAACGTAGCCAAGATGCGCCTGTGGCTCGGTCTTAAGTACTGGGACGGTAAGCCCGTTCTCGGAAAGGCCAATGCTATTAGCACGCCGAAACGTCTTATGACGGCCGACATTGCGGAGCTGGCTAGATTGGCGAGAGGGTTTCCTACGAAGGTGGATGGTGGTGTTGTGCCGGGCTTAAATCTTGGCGAGTGTATGTTTGTATCAACGTCGAAGGGTATGCTGGAAGTGAGGGAGGCACTCGCGAGAAAACAGGGTGGTCTGTTAGTATGCCGGGTTTCATGAGCATGAATATCTAGAGGGGTTTTGCTTGGGTGGTGGGAGGAGCCTATGTGCTTTCACGATACGATAAATAGGGAAGCTTGTATTGTACAACTAGATTAAGTCCTATAAGGACGGTTTGTGTATCAAAAATCAATCTCAGCATGAGAAACTGCCTTTCGCATTACAAATATTTTTGTTATCTCGCAATCTCGTTTTCAGATGCTCTTTTCTTTTACAATAAGTTTGCGATTAAATCACCATTCGCCTTCGCTTAAAACAGGTATCTATACAACAGCACAAAAAGTACATCCCCTCCTCAATGGTTAAATCAAACAATCTTGTGTCTCCCGCAATCTATCCCAAATTTATTCCGTCTTGGTAACGCGTTCCTCGTCTTCCTTCTGCTCTTTGTCAATCCTCTCTCCAGTGGTATCCTTATCTTCAACAGCCTCAGCGGTCTTCTCGTCTTCCTTGGTATCATTCTTGTTTGTAGTGTCAGTCTCATTGTCCTTCTTCTCAGCAGTCTCCGTCTCGGTGGACTCGGCATCCTTCTCCAACAAGGGGATCGCCTTGTCCGTGGTCTCTGGCTCAGGAACGGTGGTTGATGCCTCCTTTGTCTCCTCGACAACAACAGGAGGTTGAGTAGAGCCCTCCTCTACTAGAGGAACGATAACGTCGTTCTCAATTGGCTTCTGAGATTCAGCCGTGAGCTCCTGCTCCCTGGACTCCTCGATCTCATCAGCAGGGGTCTTCTTGGGAGAGGCGATGAGCTCCTCAGTAGCGGTGGTTTCGGGAACATCGACAGGTTCTTCCTCTTTAGGCGTCTCGGGGGTGATAGGGTGAACCTCTTCCTTCTTCTCCTGCTCCTCCTTGCTCGATTCCTTGGGATCATCCTGGGCCTGGGTTTCCTCTTGAATAGGCTCCTCAACTTCAATGGGAGCGTTCTCCACAACGGGCTCTGGTTCGGGCTTCTTCAAGTCGTGAGGAGCATCGTTGGTCTGGGGTACCTCGGTTTTAATTTGGGGCACCTCAGGACTTTCTGACTTGACAGGCTCATGTGACTTCTCTTCGACCACGGGTTCAACCTTGGAGGCCTCGTCTGAGGCGACTGAGCCGGTTACAGACTTCGGTCCAGCTGGCTTTCTGGCAGGTTTCTTGGCACTTCCCGGAGTTTTCATGCTACTCTCGCGGCGTGTAGCATCGGCTCCTGAAGATGTTGGTCGTTTGGCTGTCTTCTTGGGCGGCGTGGTAGGCACTTTCTCGGAAGTCTTTTGAGCTGAAGCTTGTGTTGGCCGCATCATGCGGGCCAAAAAGCTCTCATCGACTGGTGCTTCCTTCTTGGGATGAGCGGGATCGGAGGCCTTCTTGGGAGGAGGGCCAAGGCTTGGCCGTGAGCGGCCGACATTCGAAGGTTGACGCTTGACGGTTTTGCCAGTACTAGCGCCAGCTCCTGTCGCACTCGCCCGGCTAGCTGGGCGAGCAGGTACGCTGAGATTCTGTGAGCTGGCCGAAGGTTGAACCTGACGACCTGTCTTGGCACCGGAGGATGCAGTTGGGGCCATGAGAGAAGCAGGGAGGTGCACAGGCTTCGTAGGAGACTTGGGCTTTGGTTTTACAAAAGGAGTATCGCTAGGGGTGGGCTTCAATGGTTGAGGCTTCTTGGTTGCGCTAGCCGCTGAAGGTCGTGTAGCTGTGGGCGTAGTCCTTGGTGCCGGTTTTGTCTCCTTCTTTGGTGCTGAAGCAGCCTTAGGAGCTGGTTTGGGCTCATGCTTGTGTGTGGTGCTTGGTGTCGGCCGCGTCGCGGAAGGGGACTTTGCCGGAGGCTTGGTGTTCGGGGCTTTCGTGGAGATGGAGATGGTGCTGGGTCGAGTAGTGGTTGTTTTCTTGGGAGCGCTAGCCTTTGCAATTGCTATGGGAGCTGTCTGCTTTGGCTCTTTTGGTTCTTTTGTATCCTCGATCTTAGCTTGACCATTGAGACCTGCAGGAGCTGCTGGAGGCTTGTTTTCCTTCTTTGGCGAAGCTGCAGCAGGCTCTACTGCGACAGGCTCTGCTGGTAGCAATGAAGGTGATGGTTCCTCCGCGTCTTCCTTCTTGTCGGGGTTGACACTGGGCTCATCGGTGACAGCTCCCATTTGCTCTGTGGGTGTCTTTGGGGGATCAATTGGGTGACGCGGCGACTCCGGGATTGCCTCTTGGAAGAAAGGCTTGCTTGCGCGTGGCGCATCTTCAAGAGACGCGGATGGCTTGTCTGGGATAGTGGAAACAGATTCTGCGTCGGTGTCCATGCTTAATCGACGGCGTGACACACTGGATTCGTGGCTGGGATCTCTCCTAAGACCTATCCTTCCGTCTTTCTCAATGGCAACAAAGCTTGTTCTGACTTTTGACAATGGCCGGACAGGTGATTCGGTTCCGCTGTTGCCTGTGCCTGAGCCTGTGGAGAAAGAAAACAGGTTTTGATCAGCAAGGGGTTAAAGGGAGAGAAAGATTGACGGGAAGGACACGGTAGGTATGAAAGAATGACGCTGAGAGCTAGTGTGGGCAATTCCAGAGCAGGTGCAATTAGAGTAAGCTTTTTAACGGCTTTCCTAACTTAAAAGTTGCATCTCGCAACAGCTCTAAAAGTGTATCCCACCAGCCAGGAAATGCGCGCTCATTCTTGATATCATATCGCGGAAGTATCGATCGTACCTTGGACGGGAGTAGAGGCGCCAGATGATCGGCCTCTGTCGGGCGGGCTCGTGTCGCCCTTGTTCTCGAACATGGCGCGGAGGTTCTTAACCTGACTCATTGTTGCTGAGGGTTCTCAGAGACGAGACGAGACGAGCTGAACAAGATGCAAGTTCGGTCGGGCGACCTTGTGGTCTTTTGGGGGTATTCGTTATGTACAGTTCAGCAGGTTCTAGAGTTGAGCGCGTGTTGTGAATGGATAAGGATCAGGATAAGGACAAGATGGGATGAGGTGTTGTCTGGCTGGTTATGAGCGGCGTCCAGTCGCAAAGGAGGCAGGGTACCTGTACGTGTACCTTGCTACTTGAGGTACATCAGACAGATACGACGGGGCTCCTCAGGTCAGGCACAGGTCGTTAGTGGATTGAGGGGCGAGCCGTCAAACAAGGGGTACCTGCTGTAGCTGGCCTAGTGAGGTATTCCAGGAGGCGTTTCAGCACTGCTTGAATACTTTCCTGTGGATGTATCTCATGGGGCTAAATTGCTTCGGTAGGTGGAGGCGGATGGTGGAGGGACTGGCAACCCGCAGAGAATCGCTTCTGGTACGTTGGGCTGTTGCAGAATAATAGGGGCTAAGATCACAGGATGGTACAAGAGTTGGACAGACCACAAGGTAATTCTTCAACATCGCTCATGTACTACAATATCGAGATGGTGTCTAGACAACTCCTGAAGCTCGGCAACCAACCAAATCATTCCACATGAAACGCCGACCATCACTCGCACAGCAACTAGACGTTATCTTGAGTCATCATGAAGCTCTGCCTCTCGAATTTTCAGGTCTAAAATCTCAAGTTACTCTGGTAGCAAGTCAGTTGCTCGGTGACATTGGCTAACGAGGCAATAGACTGGATTGGATGGAGCCAGGTATGTGCGGTGCTCAGACAAGGATCCAGTCGAAATGAGGCACTGAATGGATCTCGTTCACATCAGGCTTAGCCAGGGACAAAGTAAATTACAATCATGATGAGAGTTCACCGTGATTGCCGGCACAGCGACTGTAATTAATCTCATCCAACTGTCGAGTCAACAAGTGTCCTCAATACTCGACCTGGCAAAGGCGCCTGAGAACTTGAAACAATAAGGAGCTATTATGGTAGCTAAGGTAGCTAAGGTAGCTAGCTATTCCTAGACTGACACGTTTGGTGAAGGATTGTTATGCAGCATTGACAGCCATACTTATACCAGCCAATACTCCGTCGAGGAGGTGTAGAAGAGAAATCGAATACAATGATGGATGAATGGCTTAAATCAGTCGAAATGAACACAAGATCAACCTCGACATGGGACGGACCGACCGCAGGCTAAAGTTAGCAGTTCTGACTACGAATACGTACCACATCATTCATTCATTCATTCGTTCATTCGTTCATTCATTAATTCATATAATTACCCCTATTTTATTTTATTTTATTTTATTTTATTTTATTTCATCCCATTCCATGCCTCCGCTTCTTCCACGTTGTCTCGGCTCTGAAGTTATTCCTTCGGCTGCCCCGCGGCTATCCTCCTGTATCATCCAGTAACATTTTCCCGTACAACTTAATCTTTGCAATGGACTCTTTGGAAGCTTTGATGCTGATATTGGAACGCATGAGCTTCCGTGTGGGGTCGGCTGTGTCTCATATGCTCTCCCCACATCCCCCGATCGAAGCCCTCGTTCCAGGTAAATCATGTCCAATGGATCATTGACGTCCAAGGACTCTTTCGTTGGATCATTGATTATGCGCTCACGTCGTATGAGAACTGAGATTAGGTCCATCTCTTTGTTGGCGTGACTCTTTGTCGATATCAGATGTGAGCCGAGTATCGGCCAACAATAAATGCTCCCAGACGAGACTAACATAAACAGATATTTGTTCAGACATATTGATACACTTATGCAGATGTTGTTGAGAGATAGAATATATAAAAACATCTCAAATAAATATAGTAGAATGTGCAGTCAACATAAACTTTGTATAACGTTACTTGGCGCCATCGGCCTGACCACTTTTTACCCGATAACTACCAAAAATCCATACCACATTTCTTACCCGTTCCGATCATCGGACAAAAGAACTTGAACTTCTTCTCAACTCCAATTGTGCCCATCATGTCCTTCCGCACCCTCAGAATCGGTACGGCACGCCATCGCCAACTCGATACAATATCTAACTAATATGTTAACTTATAGGCCTCATCCCCGGTGATGGCATCGGCAAGGAGGTCATCCCCGCCGGCCGCCGCATTCTCGAAGCTCTTCCCTCCTCTCTCGGCCTCAAGTTCGACTTTGTCGACCTCAAGGCTGGCTTCGAGACCTTTGAGCAGACCGGCGCTGCGCTCCCCGACAAGACTGTCGACGTTCTCAAGAACGAGTGCGATGGTGCGCTTTTTGGAGCCGTGAGCTCGCCTACACAGGCTGTCAAGGGTTACTCATCGCCCATTGTCGCTCTGCGAAAGAAGCTCGACCTCTACGCCAACGTCCGTCCCGTCAAGACTGTCATGACCGCTGCTAAGCCTATTGACATGGTCATTGTCCGCGAGAACACTGAGGATCTGTACGTCAAGCAGGAGCAGACCCATGAGACTCCCGAGGGCAAGGTTGCCGAGGCTATTAAGCGCATTTCCGAGAAGGCTTCGTTCCGCATTGCTACCATGGCTGGTGACATTGCTCTGCGTCGCCAAAAGATTCGTGATGCTGGTGCCTCTAGCATTCACAAGTCTCCTCTCGTCACCATCACCCACAAGTCCAACGTCCTGTCCCAGACCGACGGTCTCTTCCGCGCTACCTCCAAGAAGGCCCTTGCCGATCCCAAGTTCTCATCTGTTGCTGTTGAGGAGCAGATTGTCGACTCTATGGTTTACAAGCTCTTCCGTCAGCCCGAGGACTACGACGTCATTGTCGCTCCTAACCTGTACGGTGACATTCTCTCCGACGGTGCTGCTGCTCTTGTCGGCAGCTTGGGTCTCGTCCCCAGTGCCAACGTTGGTGAGGGTTTCGCTATTGGTGAGCCTTGCCATGGCAGTGCTCCCGATATTCAGGGCCAGAACATCGCCAACCCCATTGCTACTCTCCGATCCACTGCTCTGATGCTCGAGTTCCTCAACGAGGAGGAGGCTGCTGCTAAGATCTACGCTGCTGTTGACGGCAACCTTGAGGAGGGCAAGCTCTTGAGCCCCGACCTGGGCGGTAAGGCCACTACCGAGGAGGTTGTCGCTGACATTCTCCGACGCCTGTAAAGTATATAAAACATCAAAAGTTGGTAGCTAGATCAGATATCTCATGCTGTATGAACATGTAACAATACAGCTAGTGTTTGGATGTGGCTTGAAGATCTAGAGAGGATTGTATATTGTATACGTTTTCTTTATCCATATTTTCTAAATACCTCCGTCAAAAGAAGTGCCCCCTATCCAGCTTCTACAATTCATTTGTGTATCGTTGACGTCTAAGCCCTACCAAGGAGCCATTTTCGTATGACATTATATTACAAGATCGTGCACCCATTCATGTGTGTTATACAATAGTACAGACAACATTGTCTGCGCTTAGGCCGTTACATCACTGATGTCCTAGGCCATGATACATCTTCAACTCCAACGACTAGCTTATTTGGTTCGCTTAGCCTCAAGCTCAGCCTGATACTTGGCGACCAGTTCCTTTCTTTAGAGTTGTTAGTACTTTATTTTTTCGCAATGATGAAGAGATACATACTGAAGATGAGGAGGAGCAGGGGCGTAGTGGCTGAACTCCATGCTGAACTCGCCCTTGCCCTGAGTGGCAGCACGAAGCTGAGAGCTGAAGCCAAACATGGCGTTCAGACTGCAGTCGCAGATAAGTGTGAAATCCTCGCTACCAATATCGGTATCGTGAATGGTGGCGTTACGCTTGTTCATAAGCATAAGAATGTTACCCTGGAACTCGTTGGGGGCAGTGATAGTGGTCTTCATGAGAGGCTCAAGCACCTGGCCACCAGCATCGGAGAAAGCCTTCTTGAAAGCCATCTGGGTGGCCAAGTTGAAAGCATAATCGGAAGAATCGGTAACGTGAGTAGCACCATCGTTGACAACCATCTTAGCACCGATAACCTTGTGGCCCAGGAGAGGACCCTTCTCACAGACAACGTCGAAACCCTTAGCACAGGCAGAGAGGAACTTGTCGGGAATGTGACCACCAACGACCTGACTCTCATAATGGTTCTCATCAGGCTTGTCGTTGGGCTCAATCCATCCAGCAACACGGGCGAAGTCACCAGGACCACCACTCTGTCGCTTCAGGAGGTAGTCGTAGTCGGCTCGTCGGGCAATTGTCTCTCGGTAGGCAACACGGGGCTGGCCAGTGACACACTCGGTCTTGTACTCACGTCGGAGACGCTCGACATAGACCTCAAGATGCAATTCACCCATACCAGAAATGATAGTCTCCTCACTCTCGGCGTCAACGTGGACACGGAAAGTAGGATCCTCACGCTGGAATCGGTTCATAGCCTTACTGAAGTTGTCGGCATCACCGGTTCGCTTGGGCTTGATGGAAAGAGACATGACAGCATCAGGAACGAACATGGAAGACATAGTGTAGGGAAGACCACCATCAGTGAAGGTGTCGCCGGAGGCACAGTCGACACCAAAAACAGCGCAAATCTCACCGGCACCAACCTCAGAGACATCCTCCATCTCGTTGGAGTGCATGCGGACGATGCGGGGAATTCGGACCTTCTTGTCAGTTCGAGAGTTGAACAGGTAGGTGCCCTTGCTCAGCTTGCCCTGGTAGACGCGGATGTAGGTGAGTTGACCATAGTTGTTCTCCTCGAGCTTGAAGGCAAGACCGACAAATGGAAGAGAGTCGTAGGGAACCAGCTTAACCGTCTTCTCGCCCTGGGACTTGTCCAGACCAGTGTTCTCAATCTCAGAGGGGTTGGGCAGGTAGTCGCAGACAGCGTCGAGCATAGGCTGAACACCCTTATCGGCAAGAGCAGAACCCATCATGACAGGAGTGAAAGTTCGGGCGATAGTAGCACGTCGGATAGCGGCCTTGATCTGAAGGTTGGTAGGTTCCTGCTCCTCAAGGTACAGTTCGGCAATTTCGTCGTCGACATCGGCAAGCTTCTCAACCAGAGCCTGGCGCTTCTCCTTGGCGAGTTCCTGGAGAGGACCGGGAATCTGATCGGTAACGCGAACCTTGGTACCTCGAGGACCCTCGAAGTACATAGCCTGCATGTTGATGAGATCGACAACGCCCAAGAACTCGTCTTCGGCACCAATAGGAATCTGAATAGCGGCGGCGGGAATCTTGAGCTTCGTGTTGATCTGTTCGACTGCCTTCCAGGGGTTGGCACCCATGCGATCCATCTTGTTAACGAAAGAGATTCGGGGGACATTGTAACGTTTCATTTGACGGTCGACGGTGATAGTCTGAGACTGAACGCCAGAAACAGCGCACAGAATCATGACAGCACCGTCAAGGACTCTCAGAGCTCGCTCGACTTCGATGGTGAAATCAATATGACCAGGTGTATCAATCAGGTTGAAGTGGTAGGTTTCCTCTTTGCCGTTTTCCATTTTCTTCCAGTCGGCGAAAGTAGCCGCAGACTGGATAGTGATGCCTTTTTCCCTTTCGAGTTCCATAGAGTCCATCTTAGCGCCGACAGAATCCTTTCCTCGAACCTCATGGATCGAATTGATTCGGCCGGTGTAGAACAGGACTCGTTCACTAACTGTTGTCTTTCCACTGTCGATATGGGCCTGTGAAGTCCTTGTTAGCAGAAGAGGGTGGCATGGCGACGGTGTCATGATCATACAGCAATACCGATGTTGCGCACACGAGACAGGCGCTTGGCCTCCTCAGCGGACATGTTGGCGGCTACATACTCGGGTGTCAAGCTAGCAGCATCTTCCTGAGCTTTCTTGAGACTATTTATGATATGAGCATTGTGTTCAGCAAGTAAAAGGGGGGCAATCGACTACTCACGCTTCTTGCGCCGCACTGCAAGTACGCTTGGTCTGGCTGAAGGCTCGTCGACTCTCCCGGGCGGGAGCAGCAGCTGGTATGGTAAAAGAATGGCTACCACAGCTTGGCTGCTGGGTGCCGAGTAGCAGACGGCAATTGAGCCATCTGGCAGCCCATGTTGCCCTCATCTTGCAATCTTGGACTTCAGCGAAGAAGTTGAGGAGAGGGTTGCCAATGATCGACGCTCCATTGGAAACTTTTTTCTTTGGTGTCGGGATTAGCAGGATGGAGGCGTCGCGCCACATGCATACGCAGTTCTGATTCGCTCAGCGCTTAATTCCCGCCATTAACGGCCCCTATACTTGAGTGTTGGAGGGTGTACGCCTCAACCGAACGCCTCTATGCCCCGAAAGGAATGGAACATAGACAAAATTCGAATGTTTTCGTAAAGGACTACAACCATACGCTTGAATGCAATGTATTCTCTAGCATTGAAGATGTATTTTGAGATGTTGAGAATATAATATGTGTCTCATGTGAGAGGTGCAAAACTGCCAGTCTGCTTAGATTGAGTCCTCGGGGACTTTCTCGACTCGAGATATTGAACACATGTACGCATCATTAACATTTGCATTTATAAGTATTCTTTTAGGCTTGTTTATGCCATTCTTTTACTGGTATCATTTCTGTAGTCTCATCACCCGTTGCGCCTTTTTGTATCCTCATTACCGATGGCTCCGTCCGGCCGTTAAACGCCAAAATCAGCCCATGTCAATATGACCCTTGTTCAACGCCAGTATCATGAGCCTGTTAGCCTCTGAAGCAGATGACTATGCAATACAGCCAAAACTCCTTAAGACGCCATCAAAAAATGTTCGAGAAAATCCCTCCGCCTACGAGCATAAAGCTCATAGTGGTAACGACCAGCGCCAAGGGTATTGCAGGGCGGTTAAGCAATGATCCCGCGTTGTCCTCGTCATCATTTCTATTTGAATTCGATTCTTGAAATCCTTCAGCAGCAGTGAAGTTATGACCTGGGACTGTTGGTTTCTCGGTTGCTTTGTGCTGATTGCTTGCTGCCGTTGCGGATGGGATGGTTGCTCCATAGCTCTTAAATGGGACTCGTTTGCTTTTCGTCGAATTGAAATCAGTAGCAGCAATTCCAACTTCGTTATTTACCAGATCGTAAACGACATAGGCGGATCGAAGAAAGGTGTTGCCGAGGAGGTACAGATCGTTGGTGTCGTTTTGGATACCGAAGGTACATATGTTCTCGCCCTTATACGCGCCTGATTCAAAGGCTGGCATATTGGCCGCGTCGCTGGTCATGGAAAGAACGAGCTCATCCATCCCTACACTGATGCTAGGACCGTCAGGGCCTGCGAATCCAAATGTGAAATTCCCCTGGTTCCTGCCATACGCGCATGGTAGAACAGCTACTCCGTAGGATGGCGACCAGACAGCACCAACTTCTTCCCAGATCTCGTGGGCCAAATCTTGGGGAAGGTAGCTCAGCGTGGTTCCAGAATCGAGAACCGCCTGAATAGGGAAACTATCTGAGGTAAGGGTGTCGCTGCCGCTGGAGCTAGTGGCGACCAGCGAGGTCAAGGCCACGACGAAGTGGTAGTAATGGCCGTCCAGCTTTTGAATGTCGATCCGGTGCATATCGCCCACGTACTTTGCTGTGTCAACCCCTCCGAACAAAATACTACCGGCTTTGGCGTCCAGGTCGTTGAGCCATACACTGTAGGCAATGGTGTTGATGTACCCTGCTTGGTACATCGCAACAGGAAGGTTCGGGTAAATAACATCCGTGGTGCTGCCCGATGCCTCGTTCTTGGCGTAACCAACGCCAATCAACCCATATGAGATGTTAGTCTTAATAGCCAGTCCCATGGTCAGATTGTTGATGATAGCGCCGTCCAGCTCAAAGTGATCCTCAAAATAATCGCCCTTGACATAGCTGTCATCAACAAAGGTGATGCCGAACATTCCGGGCGCAACATGTTTGAATGTCTTGGACTTATCGGGGTCGACTGTTGAAATTGTCAGTAATAAAGCATGACAACTATTCAGGGTGCCATCTTACAGCTTCCAAGAGGGCAACCACTTTTCCCATTGTTGTCGTCTTCGCAGATATCTGCACAGTTCCAGGGAACCCATACATCACTACTCCCGGTATCGAGCTGAAGGGTAATGTTCTGAGGTGGATTGCCGATCGTGACCTCTGTAAAATAACCTCCCTCGGATCTGTCATTACTTATGACCTCTTCATAAGTCGTTTTGGCGCGAC